TTGCCATCGGATGAATCATTTCCGATTTGAGACATAATTTAATATAGCGGGAATGAGATTTCCATGAAATCTCAGTAGCATTTGAATTACAATTATCATGCAAATCAAGCAAGTTATCATGTGACATGTTATCATACCTCAAAGTATAATCAACCCCATAAAATCATGCTTAATGCCATACTAAAAGAGGAACATCAACACTTCCACAATGACATAACCCAATGCATTTGGCCAAAGCATAAACTAATGTTATTCAACCAATCCATGCCACGACACAAGTTCCTCTATTCAAGCAAACAACAAATCACATTAAACAAGCAAGATTAACAATCAAATTATAATTCAAAGCTACCTTTGTAAAGCTTGTCCAATTAATTCCTTCAAGGAGCAATGCTTCTTCTTAATTCCTTCTCTCAATGCCTATTAAACCAAGCATAAACATGGACGATATTAATTACAAGACAACTTAATTCCAATACTTGAACATTAACTCAACAATTTCCCCCCTTTTCCCCTGATTTTAACAAGGAAAAATTACTGTAGAGTCCCACAGAAGACAATTTACTACCAGAAGGTCCCATGAAATCCCCAAATTCCTCATAAGTCCCCAGGGACCTCTGGGTAAATAATTTGAGTTGTGATATTACGTACTTGCCCTCAGTCATTGATAAAGGAAAGAAAAGAGGGAGAGACGCTGATTGGCTTCATTTAGTGCGGTTGTTTGTTATGCATGCACAAGGAAGAGAAGCTTCTGAAAGAAAGAAGGGAGTTATGTGCTGGTACTCCATCGCAGGCAAGCGACATTATTTCTTCATCTTCTTGGTACGTCTCATCATTAACAACATTTCTCTTCTTCTGTACACAACCAGTGTCAAGTTTAATGTTGGTCTGAAAAGTTGATTGTGTGTTGATATGTGGGTATTAAAGATGTGATTCAACTCACTAGAAATATTAAGGGAGGCTCATTTTAGTCATATGTGGTTTTAATCATGTTAGGTGTGGTTTTACTATGTGTGGCTAGGGTTAGAAAGCAATGCTCTGTTTTTCGGTGAATGAGGCTCTGTTTTTCGGTCACTGATGCTGTGTTGCTGATGAAGATGAGTGAAAAATAACAGATATTTATTATTGTAACCCTTCAAATGCGATGGTTAAATGTGTTGTTAATGGGTACATCGAAGGTTGTTAACATAACTGTATGACTTGTTATTAACAACCAGTCGCAGCTTTAATGCTGGTCTGAAAAGTTGATTGGGTGTTTATACGTTGGTATTAAGCATGTGATTCAGCTCTCTAGAAATATCAAGGGAGGCTCATTTTAGTCATATGTGGTTTTAATCATGTTAGGTGTGGTTTTACTATGTGTGGCTATGGTTAGAAAGCAATGCTCTGTTTTTCGGTGAATGATGCTCTGTTTTTTGAGCAATGATGCTGTGTTGCTGATGGAAATGAGTGGAAAATGACAGATATTTATTATTGTAACCCCTCAAATGCGATGGTTAAATGTGTTGTTAATGGGTACATCGAAGGTTGTTAACATAACTGTATGAGTTGTTATTAACAAGTGATTGTGGCAGGTTGATATCCAGGATGGCAACTTCCAGTGCAAAGCAATTGTTTTGCTACCTCCATATAGGAGGACAATTTATTAATGGTGTAGAAGGTGAAACGCAGTATGTTGGAGGTGGTGTGAGAACAAGAATGATAAAGGAAGGGACATCATATGGAGAATTTAGAACAATGGTGGCATCAATTGTGGGAAAAGAAAGTAATGGAATGGTTATGAAATTCACAGTAACCTTTGATGAGTGTACATTTGTGGACCTTGTAGATGATGAAGGAGTAGAACATTTGATTAACTTCAATGGCGATAGTGGTCATGTATATATAGGAGAAAATGGAGATCAAAATTCACAACTAACAAGGGATGTTGTAATAGAAGAGCAACATGTGTAAGTTGTGTTATTTAAATTTCGAAGTAATATTAGCTATTGTCAACTGTTGTGCATAAGTTGTTATTATAGTGATCGAAGGTTGTCATTAACGACCCCTTGACCTGTTCTGTTATGTAGGATGGAAGACTTGTTCGGAGGTTCAGATACATTGTCCATGTCTCCACCTAATGTGGTTAGTGAAGACCCACTATTGTTGCCATATGGTTCAAAAATGATGCCAACCCCAATTCCGGAAATGAATTCAACAAAGTGGAAGGGTTTGGTTATCGGAGAAGGACAGATTTTTCCTAATGCAGTGGCTCTTAGGCAAGCACTGTATAGGTACAGTATTGCTGTGAAGTTTTCATACAAGTTTGTGAAGAACAATCAACAAAAGATCATTGTGAAGTGTATGGCGGAGGGATGCCCGTGGTATATGGGTGCATACTCAATGGGACAAAGACAAGATTCTGAGTTGTTAATAATTAGAACCTTAAGAAGTGAGCATGTGCATTATGCACAGGACAGCTTGGTTGTATCTCACTCTAGAGGGTCAAACTTAACATCATCAATCATGATAGATTCTTTGAGGTGTAATATAGACAAGAATGCTAATGAACTTAGAAGAGATCTGTATAGAGAATATGGGGTGCGACTGAATTATAGTCAAGCATACAGGGGTAGAGAAAGAGCATTGAGGGAAATACATGGTCGTGCACAGGATTCATACATGGCGATTCCCTGGATTTGTGAAAGGCTCATTGAAACTGATCCAAACACAAGTGCTCGATGGGAAGGGTTGGATAGTAACAGATTTCAGAGGGTGTTTATTGCTTATGGATGCTCAATTAATGGATTTTTAGAAGGGTGTCGACATATACTTTATATAGACGGCTGTCATCTAAGTGGTCCTTATAAGGGGACATTGATTTCAGCTAATGCATATGATGCAGACAATGAACTATTTCCATTAGCATATGCTATAGTTAGTGGGGAGACATATGATGATTGGGCTTGGTTTCTCCAGAACATCAAAGACATCACAAGATCAGTGGAGACAACGATAGTTTCAGATCGGAATAATGCCATTATAGGTGCTGTGCGAACAATATTTGGTGGCGAGAGACATGCTTTTTGTTATAGGCATGTGAAAGAAAATTTTAGTGCACATTATTTAAAAATTAACCGAGGCAGGGGACGAGTTTTAGGTACTTCAAAGGACGTTGCATTGAAAATGCTGGATGGAATCGCCTATGCAAGGATTGAGGATGAATATGTTGCTGCAATGGGGAAACTTAGATCATTCTGTCCACAATTGGCTGATTGGGTTGACACTCAAGGAGATGTAGATCGGTGGGCTTTAAGCAAATTCCCGTTTAAGCGATGGGATAACATCACCACTAATGTTGCGGAGTCGTTTAATGCCTGGATTTTGAAGGAGAGGAAGCACAATGTGTCAATTCTCATACATGAGCATATGGAGAAATTAGCCAAGAAGATGGTTGCAAGCAAAATGGCAATGGAAAATTGGACAAATGGCGTTGGGCCAAATATTGAGTCCAAGTTGCAAGAAAAAGTAGCAAGAGCGGAGAATATGCATACTGTATATTATGGAGATAACCGAGTTCAAGTTGATACTACATCTCCTACTGGAATAATTTGTGTCACTGTTGATCTCACAGCTCAGAAATGCACTTGTTTAGCATGGCAAATGAGCGGAGTACCTTGTGCTCATGCCTGTGCAGCGATAAAGCTACTTCATGGTAGTGTTTATGAATTTGTAGATGATTGCTATAAGCTGTCAGCCCAAGAGAAGATATATGCAAGTAGTATGAGGCCAATTGCGACACATGATTGTCCTTGTCCCGAAGCTCTCACTGTTACGCAGATGATGACGGGAACATTTTTACAGCCACCAATCACTAAAAGACCCTCAGGGAGGCCAAAGAAAAGAAGGATTGAATCTCAATTTCAAAGTAAAAAACTTTACCACTGTGGAAGATGCCATGAGCCAGGCCACACTGTGAAGACTTGCCAGAACCCCAATCCAAGTTGAGCTTTGCTGGTGGCTTGTTGATATTTCGTTTTGTGAATGCTTGTGACAGCATTTTTTTTGTAAATGTCATAACCTACACCTCAAGTTGTCCGTCATTATCCACACATGCAACACGTATGCTTTTTTGAATAGGTTGTAAATTTGGTGTAGTTATGTTGTACATATATATATCAAGTGGTAAATGACACCTGGTTGTAATCTGATATAACATCATTTCTGTATTTTTGATGTACTGGTGAATAGGTTGTAATGGACTTGTTATCAGACGCCATGCAGGTTGTCATTAGCAGTCTCAATTATGTTACTGATATAAAGTGACAATTTCTCCTACTTCCAGTGTTCAGTGATTTCTTAAGACATTCGAGCTGTGTTAAAGTCATAATATGATATGATTTGGTTAGAATTAGATCTCATGTGGAGGTTGTGGTATCCCCAGCGTCAGTTGTCAGGGGCAATGCGAAGGTTGTTAACCAATTCTGTTCGGGTTGTCAACAATCCCTGTTGAGGTTGTAAATGAATTGCTGGAATAAAAATCTGCTGTAATATGATTTGGTTCTTTTAAAGCTGTTAATGACTTTAAAATGCTCTCAATTTTTGCTATTAAGGTCGTTATATGTGCTCATAATATAATTAAGTTAACAGTTGTGTTATACCCCGAGTGAGTTGTTAACCAATTCTGTTCGGGTTGTCAACAATCTCTTTTGAGGTTGTGAACAACCCCTGTTGAGGTTGTAAACAGATGTGGCAGAGAGGACTCTGATATATGCCTATCATGTCACCGTGGTTACCATTTGTTTATCCAGTCTTATTCAGTCTGCATTTGTGGCCATGATGAAAACACATGAATGCCTTTACAAAAACTTGATAACCAGTAAAGGATATCAAAACACATTAACATATCTTAACATCCAGGATTCATACATGCTCAAAGAAAAAAATAAAATGTGAACTTGACGTTCAGATGTCACTATGCTGTCAAATAAATAAATGTAAATATAATATATGCTTGTCATTTATTTCTTCCTCTTGCTTTGGGGGTTTCCTCGCAGCAAAGACAACACTTCATCGCCATGCAGGTTGTTCCGATGAGTCACGAGCCACCACAAGCATCCAACCTTCAAGTCATGGATTTCTTCAGGGGAGTACTTAGGCATTGTGTAGCCGTCATCACCATACTCAGTGTCGTCCCATGTTTGTAACCAGCTCAACACATGCACCCCACAAGAGTCCCTATAAAGGAAAAACAAGTACTTTAGTGAATGAACATTAGCTCCTCCTCCGCAAACAGTGATGGCTTCAGCACACGAAGCACTTGGCAGAAACAATCTCTCTGCAAAAAAGGGACAAACAGAAGAAACAAGTTTGACAGTTGTGAATGACAAGTTATCAGGAAGCATTAACAACCTTCGCTGTAGCCAATGACAAGTAATCAGCAGGCATTAACAACCACGACAGTTAAGCAGACAAGCAACCATAACGCATTAACAAGTTATAGAATGAATGTAAAGTTGTGTATACAATCCCTCTCGCCATGAATTGCTTAGGATCTATCTGTCCTCTCTTCTTCCCTTGCTTCCTTTGTGGTTTCTTCCCTGTTTTCATTGCTTCTTCTTCCTCTCTTTGTAATCTCAACATCGTCAAATTGTCCACCAACGAGTCAAGGGCATAGAAACGCATGGTTCTTACATCCATCACGTAACAGAACCAATGGTAATTGAAAAGGGTGGGGCCAAATATGAAGTCACAGTCTCCAATGTTATATCCTATGTGCTCCGGTAAGATTTCATGTTCATGTTTTTCCAGGCTCCACCTAAGAGGATTAGCGGCCATTGTTTGCATTAACTCGGGTGAAAAAATGTGCCTACTGACACGACCGTGGTTCTCTTTTTCATCTCCCACCAAGGTTCTCGCCACCATAGACATGAACTATATCACACATACAAACAGTTAGTCATGATCATAATGACATTCGCAGTTCTCTATCTATATAAACAACTGTCTTACCCTGTCGTTCATCCATTTCCTGTCTTGTAGGCAGCAAAGCTCAGCACGTGTCAAGAAGTACCCATACATCTCTACAATGTACCTGCAGCAAAAGGAACAATGAGCACAAGGGTTGTATGTGTAAAATTGTTGTCAATCAGTTGTCCCAATTACAATCAGTCCCAACACTTACTTGGCACCTTCATCTTGATCACATCTTCTCGTGCACATCTGGAATAATTCCTCTTTCTCGTCAGCTTTTCTCTTGCCACGGCCTTTTTTCACCTCCTCTAACCAGGGAGATTTGATTGCACGGCTTCTCACCCGTGTTGATCTTCTTACATCCATTTGCCCTTGTGCTTGCTGGTCCATTTCATCCTTTTCCTCCATTTCATCGCCTACACCCTTATCCTCTTCTGCTGCTGCATCACTAGACTTGTCTTGTGTTTTTTCTTCTCCATCATCCTCTGATCCAGAGTGACTCCCTTCTCCTTTCTCCTCAGGTTGAGATTGACTCTCTTCTTCACGCGAAGCACTTTTGCCCTCTTCTTTATCATCTCCTTCTGGTTCACTCTGTTGTTCCTCTTGTGACAGAATTGAATCTTTTGGGCTTCCTTTACCTTCTTCACCGGTTTCTTCATCTTCAGTTGCCTTCTCTCTATCATCTTCGCTACTTACTGCTTCCACCACATCTTCCTTGTCAATCTCATCCGTCAACCTCAATTGCAGGGAAACCAACTCTTCTCCAATTGTCGACACCAACCCTTCAACCATGGTCATCAACCTTTCATACGTTCTCTTGATTTCCTGCAAAACAACAGTAATGAAAGTTATCATTACTCCAAATTCTACACAGCACCAAAATAAGCTACACATGATTTACTTACAAGGTGGGTTAGCTTTATTCCTGTGTTGGATGCACTTATTGAAGCCCCACCGACACTTGGAATGCCATGCAGTATGCCTCTGTCGCTATTCTTTTCTAATTTCACTCTTGCCTTCACTTTTTCCTCATCCCAATAAGTAATGGCATTTTCATTTTTTGCCGCCTTTTCTTTTCCGAGAGGAAAGTGTTGTAGGCAATAAATCTGCATGTGAAGTTAATGATAACTTAGATATACAACAACATCATCCAAACAGGCCACTGACAACATAAACAGCGGAAAATCACAACCTACACACTGCCCAATAACAACATACACAGTGACCAATCACAACCTACACACTGCCTAATAACAACAAACACAGTGACCAATCACAACCTACACATAACCCTGTCACAACATACATTTGCGCCATTCACAACATGTACAGCATCCGGTGACAACCCATACTCAACAGAATGACAACACGAACAGACTGCAATTACAACCTCTACATAACCAGGAGGCAAACCAACACATCCTAATGACAACCTGAACACAGGACAATAACAACCTCTACACCAGCCAGTCACAACATATCCATAACCAGTTCACAGCGTACATTTCTCCAACTGACGACACAGAGTAGTAAATAACACCATACACAGTGACCAATCACAACCTACACATAACCCTGTCACAACATACATTTGCGCCATTCACAACATGTACAGCATCCGGTGACAACCCATACTCAACAGAATGACAACACGAACAGACTGCAATTACAACCTATACATAACCAGGTGGCAAACCAACACATCCTAATGACAACCTGAACACAGGACAATAACAACCTCTACACCAGCCAGTCACAACATATCCATAACCAGTTCACAGCGTACATTTCTCCAACTGACGACACAGAGTAGTAAATAACAACATACACAGTGACCAATCACAACCTACACATAACCCTGTCACAACATACATTTGCGCCATTCACAACATGTACAGCATCCGGTGACAACCCATACTCAACAGAATGACAACACGAACAGACTGCAATTACAACCTATACATAACCAGGTGGCAAACCAACACATCCTAATGACAACCTGAACGCAGGACAATAACAACCTCTATACCAGCCAGTCACAACATATCCATAACCAGTTCACAGCGTACATTTCTCCAAATGACGATACAGAGTAGTAAATAACAACATACACAGTGACTAATCACAACCTACACATAACCCTGTCACAACATACATTTGCGCCATTCACAACATGTACAGCATCCGGTGTCAACCCATACTCAACAGAATGACAACACGAACAGACTGCAATTACAACCTATACATAACCAGGTGGCAAACCAACACATCCTAATGACAACCTGAACGGAGGACAATAACAACCTCTATACCAGCCAGTCACAACATATCCATAACCAGTTCACAGCGTACATTTCTCCAAATGACGATACAGAGTAGTAAATAACAACATACACAGTGACCAATCACAACCTACACATAACCCTGTCACAACATACATTTACGCCATTCACAACATGTACAGCATCCGGTGACAACCCATACTCAACAGAATGACAACACGAACAGACTGCAATTACAACCTATACATAACCAGGTGGCAAACCAACACATCCGAATGACAACCTGAACACAGGACAATAACAACCTCTACACCAGCCAGTCACAACATATCCATAACCAGTTCACAGCGTACATTTCTCCAACTGACGACACAGAGTAGTAAATAACAGCATACACAGTGACCAATCACAACCTACACATAACCCTGTCACAACATACATTTGCGCCATTCACAACATGTACAGCATCCGGTGACAACCCATACTCAACAGAATGACAACACGAACAGACTGCAATTACAACCTATACATAACCAGGTGACAAACCAACACATCCTCATGACAACCTGAACACAGGACAATAACAACCTCTACACCAGCCAGTCACAACATATCCATAACCAGTTCACAGCGTACATTTCTCCTACTGACGACATAGAGTAGTAAATAACAACATACACAGTGACCAATCACAACCTACACATAACCCTGTCACAACATACATTTGCGCCATTCACAACATGTACAGCATCCAGTGACAACCCATACTCAACAGAATGACAACACGAACAGACTGCAATTACAACCTATACATAACCAGGTGGCAAACCAACACATCCTAATGACAAGCTGAACACAGGACAATAACAACCTCTCCACCAGCCAGTGACAACATATCCATAACCAGTTCACAGCGTACATTTCTCCAACTGACGACAGAGAGTAGTAAATAACAACATACACAGTGACCAATCACAACCTACACATAACCCTGTCACAACATACATTTGCGCCTTTCACAACATGTTCAGCATCCGGTGTCAACCCATACTCAACAGAATGACAACACGAACAGACTGCAATTACAACCTATACATAACCAGGTGGCAAACCAACACATCCTAATGACAAGCTGAACACAGGACAATAACAACCTCTCCACCAGCCAGTGACAACATATCCATAACCAGTTCACAGCGTACATTTCTCCAACTGACGACAGAGAGTAGTAAATAACAACATACACAGTGACCAATCACAACCTACACATAACCCTGTCACAACATACATTTGCGCCATTCACAACATGTACAGCATCCAGTGACAACCCATACTCAACAGAATGACAACACGAACAGACTGCAATTACAACCTATACATAACCAGGTGGCAAACCAACACATCCTAATGACAACCTGAACGCAGGACAATAACAACCTCTATACCAGCCAGTCACAACATATCCATAACCAGTTCACAGCGTACATTTCTCCAAATGACGATACAGAGTAGTAAATAACAACATACACAGTGACCAATCACAACCTACACATAACCCTGTCACAACATACATTTGCGCCATTCACAACATGTACAGCATCCGGTGTCAACCCATACTCAACAGAATGACAACACGAACAGACTGCAATTACAACCTATACATAACCAGGTGGCAAACCAACACATCCTAATGACAACCTGAACACAGGACAATAACAACCTCTATACCAGCCAGTCACAACATATCCATAACCAGTTCACAGCGTACATTTCTCCAAATGACGACACAGAGTAGTAAATAACAACATACACAGTGACCAATCACAACCTACACATAACCCTGTCACAACATACATTTGCGCCATTCACAACATGTACAGCATCCGGTGACAACCCATACTCAACAGAATGACAACACGAACAGACTGCAATTACAACCTATACATAACCAGGTGGCAAACCAACACATCCTAATGACAACCTGAACACAGGACAATAACAACCTCTACACCAGCCAGTCACAACATATCCATAACCAGTTCACAGCGTACATTTCTCCAAATGACGACACAGAGTAGTAAATAACAACATACACAGTGACCAATCACAACCTACACATAACCCTGTCACAACATACATTTGCGCCATTCACAACATGTACAGCATCCGGTGACAACCCATACTCAACAGAATGACAACACGAACAGACTGCAATTACAACCTATACATAACCAGGTGACAAACCAACACATCCTAATGACAACCTGAACACAGGACAATAACAACCTCTACACCAGCCAGTCACAACATATCCATAACCAGTTCACAGCGTACATTTCTCCAAATGACGACATAGAGTAGTAAATAACAACATACACAGTGACCAATCACAACCTACACATAACCCTGTCACAACATACATTTGCGCCATTCACAACATGTACAGCATCCGGTGACAACCCATACTCAACAGAATGACAACACGAACAGACTGCAATTACAACCTATACATAACCAGGTGACAAACCAACACATCCTAATGACAACCTGAACACAGGACAATAACAACCTCTACACCAGCCAGTCACAACATATCCATAACCAGTTCACAGCGTACATTTCTCCAACTGACGACATAGAGTAGTAAATAACAACATACACAGTGACCAATCACAACCTACACATAACCCTGTCACAACATACATTTGCGCCATTCACAACATGTACAGCATCCGTGACAACCCATACTCACAGAATGACAACACGAACAGACTGCAATTACAACCTATACATAACCAGGTGGCAAACCAACACATCCTAATGACAACCTGAACACAGGACAATAACAACCTCTACACCAGCCAGTCACAACATATCCATAACCAGTTCACAGCGTACATTTCTCCAACTGACGACATAGAGTAGTAAATAACAACATACACAGTGACCAATCACAACCTACACATAACCCTGTCACAACATACATTTGCGCCATTCACAACATGTACAGCATCCGGTGACAACCCATACTCAACAGAATGACAACACGAACAGACTGCAATTACAACCTATACATAACCAGGTGGCAAACCAACACATCCTAATGACAACCTGAACACAGGACAATAACAACCTCTACACCAGCCAGTCACAACATATCCATAACCAGTTCACAGCGTACATTTCTCCTACTGACGACAGAGTAGTAAATAACAACATACACAGTGACCAATCACAACCTACACATAACCCTGTCACAACATACATTTGCGCCGTTCACAACATGTACAGCATCCGGTGACAACCCATACTCAACAGAATGACAACACGAACAGACTGCAATTACAACCTATACATAACCAGGTGACAAACCAACACATCCTAATGACAACCTGAACACAGGACAATAACAACCTCTACACCAGCCAGTCACAACATATCCATAACCAGTTCACAGCGTACATTTCTCCAACTGACGACACAGAGTAGTAAATAACAACATACACAGTGACCAATCACAACCTACACATAACCCTGTCACAACATACATTTGCGCCTTCACAACATGTACAGCATCCGTGACAACCCATACTCAACAGAATGACAACACGAACAGACTGCAATTACAACCTATACATAACCAGGTGGCAAACCAACACATCCTAATGACAACCTGAACACAGGACAATAACAACCTCTCCACCAGCCAGTCACAACATATCCATAACCAGTTCACAGCGTACATTTCTCCAACTGACGACACAGAGTAGTAAATAACAACATACACAGTGACCAATCACAACCTACACATAACCCTGTCACAACATACATTTGCGCCATTCACAACATGTACAGCATCCAGTGACAACCCATACTCAACAGAATGACAACACGAACAGACTGCAATTACAACCTATACATAACCAGGTGGCAAACCAACACATCCTAATGACAACCTGAACACAGGACAATAACAACCTCTACACCAGCCAGTCACAACATATCCATAACCAGTTCACAGCGTACATTTCTCCAACTGACGACACAGAGTAGTAAATAACAACATACACAGTGACCAATCACAACCTACACATAACCCTGTCACAACATACATTTGCGCCATTCACAACATGTACAGCATCCGGTGACAACCCATACTCAACAGAATGACAACACGAACAGACTGCAATTACAACCTATACATAACCAGGTGACAAACCAACACATCCTAATGACAACCTGAACACAGGACAATAACAACCTCTACACCAGCCAGTCACAACATATCCATAACCAGTTCACAGCGTACATTTCTCCAACTGACGACACAGAGTAGTAAATAACAGCATACACAGTGACCAATCACAACCTACACATAACCCTGTCACAACATACATTTGCGCCATTCACAACATGTACAGCATCCGGTGACAACCCATACTCAACAGAATGACAACACGAACAGACTGCAATTACAACCTATACATAACCAGGTGACAAACCAACACATCCTAATGACAACCTGAACACAGGACAATAACAACCTCTACACCAGCCAGTCACAACATATCCATAACCAGTTCACAGCGTACATTTCTCCAACTGACGACATAGAGTAGTAAATAACAACATACACAGTGACCAATCACAACCTACACATAACCCTGTCACAACATACATTTGCGCCATTCACAACATGTACAACATCCAGTGACAACCCATACTCACCAGAATTACAACACGAACAGACTGCAATTACAATCTATACATAACCAGGTGGCAAACCAACACAGCCCAATGACAACCTGAACACAGGACAATAACAACCTCTACACCAGCCAGTCACAACATATCCATAACCAGTTCACAGCGTACATTTCTCCAACTGACGACATAGAGAAGTAAATAACAACATACACAGTGAGCAATCACAACCTACACATAACCCTGTCACAACATACATTTGCGCCGTTCACAACATGTACAGCATCCAGTGACAACCCATACTAAACAGAATGACAACACGAACAGACTGCAATTACAACCTATACATAACCAGGTGACAAACCAACACATCCTAATGACAACCTGAACACAGGACAATAACAACCTCTACACCAGCCAGTCACAACATATCCATAACCAGTTCACAGCGTACATTTCTCCAACTGACGACATAGAGTAGTAAATAACAACATACACACTGTCCAATCACAACCTACACATAACCCTGTCACAACATACATTTGCGCCATTCACAACATGTACAGCATCCAGTGACAACCCATACTCACCAGAATGACAACACAAACAGACTGCAATTACAACCTATACATAACCAGGTGACAAACCAACACAGGCCATTGACCTCAGTAGCAGCCACTAACAACCCACGCTAAACCAAATGACAACATGCACACCATACAGTCACAACCTACACATCAGCTAATCACAACCTACATTTGTGTCATTCACAACATGCACAGCAGCCATTGACAACCCACGATAAACCGAATGACAACACGAACAGAAGGCAATTACAACCTATACATAACCAGGTGACAAACCAACACAATCCATTAACAACCTGCACACAGTACTATAACAACCTTGACACCAGCAAATCACAACCTATACATAAGCAGTTGACAGCGTACATTTCTCCAATTGACAACAGAGTAGTAAATAACAACATACAGAGCAACCAATCACAACCTACACAGCACATTGACAATAAACTAACATCAAAGTAAATGAATCATACCCACACTTACCATTAGGAAGTACATGCAACCTCCCACATTTTTCGTCCCATCAGCTTTTCCTTTCTTCTTTCCTTTCTTGAACTCTGCAATTGAGTTGCAGAATTCTTTCAAAACTAAGCTGCTCCAATCATAGTGTCCTAAACTATCCTTTGTCACCACCATGACTTTCAACACTTTATCACTCACCCATACACTAGAGGCAGGACACAAGAGGACTCCTAGTGCATACATAACAAAAAGGAATTCAAACTTTTCTTCCTCTTTTCCTTCAATCAACCATGTTCCTATTGTTTTGTATGGCACTTTCCCGTAGTCACTCCTTAATTTCTTGAACGTTTCATCTTCATTCTCCACATTTATTTTAATATCTTCCCCCTTAAATGGTAGACCCATCAATTCATTTACATCTTCGGGCCCCACTAAATGCGTCTTCCCTCGAATTGAAATTTGCCTACTTACAGGGTCAAACACACGGATCAATTCACCACAAAAATCTCTATAGATCTGTGAGCAGCATATGTCAACCAATTTATCAAAACCAATTCTTTTCAGTCTTTCCATCTTATCTTTACTTTTCTTTAATTGCTTGCAGACTTCCATAAATTGTCCCGGAGCACAGCGTGTGTGAAAGGGAACAATATAATTCTTCCCTTTTGGTGGGACTCTCATTTCTTTAGCCCTTTCACCATATTGTTCTTTCTCCTCTTCTGTTAAGTTTCCCCAAGCCTTTTTCACAGAGTTAGTGCCCTCTTCAAAAGACTTAAACTTCTTCTTGTTCTGCTCATAAAACTCTTCAATGAATAATATGTATCCGGAGAAATTCCTAGCCCTTTGTCCATCTTTACTCTTACTCTTTTTAGTCATTTTGTTCTACTGCAAAAAGGAAAAAAAATACTGTCATCAACATATATTTTAAAATAGTAAGTATCTTCAACACCACCAAATTATTCACTAATTAACAAAATCAAAATATATCCCTTTGGATGACAGAAAGCAATGAACAACAGTAAATAATATGGATCACAAATCAATCCACCAGAATGAATTTCCCTTCATTGGTTATAGTATAGAGCCAATAGGTGTTATATCCAACAAGCAATTCCCTTTCTGACCTTATGGCCAAATTAACATTCCACCATGGAGCCCACCATAAAAAGCCAAACAAAACCTTTATTATTTTATTGCCGAACAAATCAATTACATAAAGTTCTCCCTTTTAATTCAGCAATATTAACAATAACTGATTGCTGCATTTAAAAAGCTCTACCAAATCAAATTTTTGACAATTTTAACCAGTGTTCTTCAAACTGATCTCTAATATAACTTAGTACCAACCAGCCCCAACTTTTGCCCCTAACTTTGATTCGCATGTCAGATCATTGTAATATCAACATACTTCACATTTCTAATATCATAGTGAAAATACAAGTCATGGTTATCACTGGCTCCATATATAAACACACGAAACAACCGAACATTCCAAACCACTTCAGGTCATCGAGCAGCTTTTACGAACAATCAACAATTCAAATGTTCAAACATTCCAAACCAAACATTTTTCAAAATATGACCAAGAAGCTTGAAATTGTCAAATATTCTAACCGAGAGAGACTAGTTGTCTGGAGATTGAGGCGTTAGTAGAGAGACCACCGGACTGTACCAGAGAGTTCACGGCGTCGGAGCAGACGGCAACCGAGTGCGGACCAGAGAGGGATGGAGTGCTGAGCAGAGTCGGCCGGACCGTGCTGGAGATTGAAACTGTTCAATGCGTCAGAGAAGACGGCGACGACGGGCGGACAAGAGACCGACGGACTGCGGACGAGAGACTGACGGTGTGTAGACCCGAGACCGATGGACCGCGCAGGGGATTGAAGGCGTCGGACCAGAGAGTGACCGAATGCGGAGCAGCGACCGACAATGTACCAACCATAAACTAACAGACCTCGCCGGAGATTGAACCTGTCGGAGCACACAAGGATAAAGCACCAACGACACGGCGGCGGAGTGTGAGCAGGCGACGGAGTGTGAGCGGGCGACGGAGTGTGAGCGCGCGGCCGATTTCGCGAAGATAAAAACCGAAACGATTTTGAGTGTGCTTCGGTTACTTTCTCTAATCAAAAGGGCAAGAAAGTAATTGCAAGTTTCAAATTTTTTGCTATAAGGTCCCTTGGGACCTCATATACATTTTCTGATTTCATGGGACCTTCTAGTAGTAAATTGTCTTCTGTGGGACTCTACAGTAATTTTCCCTTTTAACAATATGATTCCTCCTTCAGAATCAATCATCTCATGGCTCAATCCTATATAATTTTTTATGAGGAATCCAATGTTGCAATCAGATTTTTAAAAATCACACTCATTCCCCATGAACTCCTCTTGGCTGAATAGGGGGTATTTATTTTCCAAAAATTTTATTTTTGATTCTAATGATTTTAAACACTTTCCAACAACATATCCCTACACAAAAACATGTTTTAAAGCCATTGGAATCATCAAATCAAGCAAAATCAAATTGCTTCTGCATGAACAGTAGTAGACCGAATTGCTTCCCCTTAAACCCTAACTTTGATTTCATCCAAAAATCAATCCATACACTATTTAGTCTTTCTTATTCCACTTGATTATCAAGGTTTCTATCCTTTCCTAACATCACAAGGTCTAACAAAATTTTGGCAGAATTTTTTCTAATTTTCCAAGCTAAAAACTTCAACTAACCAAGCTTGAAACTTAGGAATAGGGAGGCATAAGCATACTTTAATGTTTTCTTGGTGTATGTTGGATGATTCCTTGTCCAAAACACTTAGAATTTTCAGTTGAAGGGTGCTGGAAGCAAAATGGCAGAACCTCCCCTTGTTTTTCTATTTTTTCAACATTTTTTTGTATTTTCTAAGGGGGTATTTATAGAAAAATTCAAGTCTGCCCCTCCCCTCTTCAACTGGATAAAATTAGACACCTAATAAGGTGTATGTTGTAGCCATCAAGTGTCAAAAATATTCAGATCACTCCATGTGGCTTTTCTCTAGATTTTTTTCACAAAAATATCTCTTAATTTCACATTTTATTTAATAAAAATGGAGGGGCCTGGAAGGTGCACAAAATTGGGCCCTTATTGGGCTTAATTTGGGCCCGACAAATGGTTTGGGCTAGCCAAAAAAGATGGACGACAAACTAAATCACTATCTCAAACCAATTTGAAATTTTATCGATTACTATTCACTAGTAACCTTTCATAATTTTTTCAGACCTCCAAAATTCATTTCTCTTCATGATAATTCACTTTTAATATGGGAGCATGATCTGAAAATTCTTAGAATTTATTTTGAATTTTCTCCGGTTAGGCCTCTATCTGTAGTTCTGGGGGAAAATAAATTCCCTAAAATTCATTTCTGAGTTTTCAAGGCCTAAAACCAATTTTATAAATTCAAATAAATATTTAGATAAATTTTCCATCAATCTCCCAAATTTATTGAGACCTCTAACTAATTAAAATAATTATTTTCCTCTGATTTTCTAATATTTTCCTGAAAAACCTCCATTTACGGGAAATTTCATAATAATTCATTTTCACCGTAATTTCACATTTCAGGCCTCAACCAAGTTTCCAAAACTTCCAATTTGTACTTTTCCATTTTTCAGGAATTTTCTAGAATTTTTCTCAAAATGTTCTATTTTGCCCTTTCTAGACCAATCATTATAAAAATGCCAGCCCGAACCTTATCGGGGTTTTACATAAAAAATTGTTTCATTTTCCCATCTAGTTCCTACATTGACCCTTATCCCAATTTTTGATTTCCTATAACCAGGTGAAAATTCTTGGGATGTGACAAGAAGCAAGGAAACACGAGATGTCATAGTATGGTCCATGTCTCATGAAGTTGTAATGCAAGCACATCTATATATTTTGAACAATACGAATAAAGTTTTGCCTTGCTTAGATGCTCACAAGAATATGATGAAGAACATGAATCCCAGAAAGAATGACATGCAACTAGCTAATGAGTATAACAAGTTATTTATAATGTGGTTCAAACAAAAAGTGTTAAAAGATAGCAATCTTTCTGAGAAAATATAAAGGTTAGCTAGAAGGCCTCATTTTGAGGTTGTGTGTTGAGGTGGATATGGCATAAATAGTTATTCATTTTACATAAAGCCTAAGATGATAAGAGTACTATGCAGAGTAGTGGGGTGATGGTAGTAGCTGAAGTTATGCATTTTGCTAGTTCAAAAGATAAAAACCCAATATTAGCGTCTATGTCCTATTATAGAGTAATAGAAGAGATATGGGAGGTTAGTTATATTAAATTTAAAGTTCCCATCTTCCAATGTAAGTGAGTTATTAGTAATGCTGTGTTAGTAAATCAAGAATTTTGATTTGTTTTGGTTGATATTGAGGGTTGGATATAAAGCTGAGCTATTTATTTTAGCGAGTCAAGTGAAACAAGTGTTTTATGACACTGATCTAGCAAAGAAAAAATTGTCTATCATGTTCTAAGGTAAGAGGCAACTGGTTGGTAGAGATGATGGTGACTCAGAGTTTAACCTCGACAAAACCCTGCCTTTCATAGCTACTCGACCTAAAACAGCTAAATTAGATTTGGTAGATGACGATTATGCTATTGGGGATGATCATTATGAAGGAATTTGGGAGGATAATCATTAGTAAGGCTTAAATCAATAGTTTGATCCATTAAAGTCATTTCATGTTTGTTATTTATTGTCTTTCCATTATTTATTCATTATTTGATGTTTCTTTTTAAATTTACTTGATGTTTCCTATTCTTACATTTGTATGTTTTTGTTGAACAAGAAATGAATAGATCAGGTTACCAAGGCTCTGATCAATAAGGTTTTAGAGACAATAGTACCTCTACCAATAACAAAAGGGGTAGAGGGCTGACTCGTATAAGAAAGTTAGCTTTGCGTGATGGTGCCACACATCTCATGAGGATAACAGTATAATTCGATAATGATTTGAAGAGAATAGGTCCTGAAGGGGCTCAGTTGAATAGTTCTAGCACACTATAAGATTAGGATTGATATCCTAATTGGAGGATAATAGATGAAAATGTGAAGGATAAGCTTTAGGAGGATATTTTAGAACATTATGAATTATATCTTTCCTTTATTTGTTTCAATTATAATTGATTATTTAGTTCTAACTTTATTATATTTTATTGTAGCTCACATTTGATATTCCAGCAACAAAGGGGATAAAACACCCTATATTAAAGCAAGCAAATGAACAACTTGTAAGGGAGTACCTTCATGGAAAAGAGAAGGATGATCATCCCAAGGATCAATTTTCCTTCATTAGTAATGAGGTATGGGAGAAGTTTGTCAAGCAATGGGAAGACCTTGCATGTTAGCTTTGGTTTTTTCAAACTAAGTTATTAATGAATTTAGAAGGGATGACCATCCCGATAGAGTTAGAAGAGCCCCTAAAGGGACTAGTATTAAATAGTTCTTTGGCCCTGGTTCACAAAGAAGCACCAATTCATCCTTTGCTAATATGATGTCTAAAGAGGAGCTCGACCAGTGATTACAAGAAGAAACGAAGAAAGTTCAAGCTCAACTCAGCCAAGAACATAAGGCAGAGACACCAAAGATGCATGAGGAGTTTAATGTCAAGTTTCAATAGGCTATGATGATGATGGATACAACCAAATTCCAGATGCCTCGAGTGTCTAAACCATTGTAGGTAATAACATCTTCTCAAGGTTTATTTAATTTGTTTAAGTTTATTTAATGTGTCTTAAGTAATTTGTTTTTATGTTTCATGGTTCACCTATGATTAAGAGTAGAAAAGATAGTAATAATCAGATGCAACAGCTGACATCATCCAACCCTGACCCTAGCACTGATCA